CGCAGTTATCTTCCGCAGTAAGTTTAAGAAAAATCATGTATATGTATATATGATTTAAAGGTTTCAAGCATGTATGTTTAAAAAGTATAGGTACATATGTATGTTAAGGAAACCGAGGTTGTAGCTAACAACCCTCGTTTTGAGTGTTTAAGTTTTAGAACGTTGCAACAGAGCATGCAACAAATAAACAAATTTTAAACATGACGATTTAAACGATTGATTTTAAAAGGGCTTTAAGATGTACTTGAATTTAAGATTTCTCACGAAATCCGTTTTAAAGTCAAAATTAAATGGCCTGATTGAATTGGCTAGTTTTAGAAAGGCTTTTAAAGAGTATTTGAAATAAGAGTTCAAATGCTGCTCTGTTTGAAAGATATTTTTAGAACGTTTTATCTTAACTGAAATTAAGAAAAGCTTTAAGAAATTTAGTGATTCACTTATTTGAAATTATTGTTACAAATTATGAAAGTATTCTTTCTTATATTAAAAAAAAAAAAAAATGTTCCGCAAATTTTAAGAAACCCCAGTAAGTACAAGTTAAAGTTTAAGTTACAGTGGCGGCCTCATAGGAGGGTCGTCACACTTTGTATCTCAAAATACCGCATTCTGCAAACTCACATAAATCACTGTCTTATATATTTTTATCATTACAAAATTCTAGGCCAAATCCCTTCCAACCATGGTTTTATACCCTTCAAGCCGAGGATTTACCAAATCTCTATTTGTTTTAAGTTGAAATTAGGCCGGTATTGTCTAATATGTTTTCCCTGTGATTTAAGAAAACAGATTTAATTGTATACATCAGGATCAAAAGATAAAGTCCAAGAATAGTGCATTGCCAAAATGCTTAGGAAATTGTAGGGTATTTTCCTCAGCGACGAAAATCTTTTTTTTTTTTTTTTTTTTTTTTTTTTTTTTTTTTTTTTTTTTGTGGAAAAAACACCCTTTTAAGGTAATACTTCAAAATATACCTATTTTAATTGGGTTATATGATGCGACAAGACCACCTTTGAAGTTTCATCATATTTTGTCCGTGAAATTTGACCCGCTTATTGTTAGGATGGACTAGAATTTAGAAACATACTTCCAAAATGGACGACTCATGACAAGCAATATCCCAAAGTCACTTATATTATTGTCGTTATGCTATAGGGTACTTTTTGGTGGTGCCCATCATTATCTAATAGAATGTGAGTCTCAAAGTTAAAGTCTACAAGTGGGATCCACTTTCTATTAAATGGTGGTGTTTAGCACTGGTGGTGGTGTTCTTGAACATTTTTCTATTGCTAATACTAACGATCCGGAGAATAATGTCTAGCTAAGCTAGTTTTTTTATTTTTTATTTTTTATTTTTTCATAATGAATGACTAACTTATGAGCTGGCCCTCACTTTGGAGGATG